AAGTCATGATGGGTGGTAAAAATAAAGTGTGGTGTGTAAGTTAAGAGGAAAGAATATGGGCTTTAGCCCAACCAAGTCAGGGAGTAGTTTGGAAAAGAAATAATAACTAGCTACCAGTAACAACACACTCACGTTAAAATGAAAATAAAAGAAAAGTCACAGTTCAAAATGCTAATCACATCGTTGCCATGATCGGACCTCAAATTGCCGGAAAAAAGCTCATATGCGTCTCGCTTCTTCTTCACAGGTTTGGTTTGAAATTGTCTATCTCAATCTCTCCTTCCATCTCGCCTCATTTTAACTCGGTTTGTGTTCTGCTTTGCTTCCTCTTCATCTTACACTTTCTGTTATGATCCATCATTTCACGATTTGGTTTTCGATTTTGTCAGTCAAGCTCTCTTTCTCACGGATTTGGAATTGGTCTGTGTTGAATCTCCCTACATCTCTATTTCTGTTCTGCAATTGGATTTTGAATGAGTTTTGTATGGTTTTGTTTTTTGTGTTGAAGGGAATTTGCTGTTGATTCTGAGACGAAGGATGAAGGAGGATTTGGGGTTGTGTATTGAAGGTTTGTAGTTGTGGGTGAAGAGCAATTCAAAGGAGGTTATTGTTGCTGTTGTGAAGGAGAAATTGGTTTTATTGAAGGTTTATGGGAGAAGGTTATACAGTCGAAGAGTCCCCTCAAATGTGAGAAATAAAGGTCCAATTTATGGCTGAATAGAGGTGAGATTATGATTGTGACTCAAATTGTTGTTTTTGCATTTATTATGTATTTTCCATTTGTTCCGTTTCATGCCATTTTGCCAGTTTGTCATTAGCGTGTATTGGGACATGGTTTTGTTTCGTTTTGGAATTGTGATCGCACGATGACTTGCATGGAAACTGGGTTGACAAGTTTGTGAATTGTGGGGTGAAGAGTGTATTGTTATGCTGCAGACATTAGAATTGTATGGTTTGTTCTCATCGTCATTTTTAGCAGCTTGTAACGTTGCGTATGGCAATATTTTTAGAGTTGTTGGTGACATGGTGTGAATTCATGGTACATGGCTTTATGCTAGCTAACTGAAGGTATTGACGCGTGAGGTATTGCTGAAGACTATAGACCTTATGTGAAACCTTTATTTTTTGTTTTGTAATCTTTGACCACATGACTTGATTTTCCTTTTTTGTTATTCTTTGTAATGGATTTCACTTTTAGATAATATTTGTGTTATGTGCCTCTTGTTACATTCTTGGCCATTTCTTTTTTACCAATTTTCTTGTAATGTGGACTAAACATAACATGGTTTTTTTTAATGTAACGTGACCCTTTTTTGAACTTTGATTGTCCCTTTTGAATTGTGGCTTGAATTAAGAATTGAGATTATAAAATGATGCAAATGGATTTATTTGGATTTATGGTTTAATGGATTTGAAATGGATTGGATGTAAACTTGGTTAGAAAAATGGAGGATTGAAAAATGGCAAATGGATAATGGGTTTATGATAGAAATTAGATATGAATTATGGTTAATAAAATTGGAAATGGATAATTGGATATGAAATCTTAATTTTCGACTCAAAACCAAACTTGAACTTTTTCCACGAGGTATCTGATTAAAATAACTGAACAAATCTTGGACCACTGAATCACTTGCAACAGAAGCAACAACCATTTAAACCCACTTGAACTACGCCATAATTATCTGAATCTCTGATAAAAAATGGAATAAATTTTGAATCACTTTGAATCTGTATGAATCAATCTCTAGAAAAATAAATCCACAGCTGAACCACTAATGGACTGATGGACTCTTGATCATGATAAACCTGATCTTCTAGACCAAACCTCACATAAACCACTGATTGATATTCTAATGAGTTTCACACGCAACAATTTGACCTTAGACGCACACTGGCTGAGAGAGTCTACTGATACTGATAACTTGTGATTGAAGCAGTCTCCTGATGGTTTGACCAAAATTAGGTCAAACTCCCGTCTGATCTTAATCGTGACTGAATAACCACACCTGACTTGAAGCTATAACATCATCTCTGATAATCCTGATCTCTTGTCCCTGCCATATAGCTTGGGCAATTGATATCTATCTCGAAATTTGATCACGAGAATGAGAGCATATCATTCCTTTATCTCTACTTGAAATCAAATATTTTGGCAGACACTTATAATCACCAATACGCGCCCACCCAATCATAATGACCTAATTTAGATGATTATGGTTTAATAAATGAAGGTTTTAAAAGGGTAGGACAAATTTGGGGTATGACAATAACTCACTAATCCATGTGTCAACTCTCCGATCCCTCAGGCCAATTGTCCCGTCAAATTAGACAACAAAAAACGTTAGGTCCTAATCATACTATCCCTAGTAAATTAGTGAATTCAACGATTAAAATAGTCTAGATAGATAGCCCTAGGATCAGTATTCATCATTTATCAAGATTAATTTGAATGTCGTAACAATCAAAAAAGCAATACGCATAATAAATAATTGAATAATAACAATAAGTCAGAACAATAACATTAACATCATCCGATCATATGTGCCAACCAAATAAAAACAGGTCCATCATCAAATTTGAGTGTATTTTAAATGCATACAAAAGTCTAATTTTGAATTTGAAAAAGACAATTTCATAGTTTTTAAGGGTGACTTTCACCACCACCAAAGGTATGAGGGGCAAACCCATATTTTATAATATGAATTGTCATTAAAAAAATTTAAGGGACATGTTTTTTTATTTATTTTTAATTTTGGTATATGGATACGAACCAATTGCACAACCTACTTGCAGGGTCCATTTTTTAGGTAAAACAAAACTTTGCACGACCATGGTCCAATACATGAATTGTTTGCATTTTGCGAGATTCAAATTTAAAACCCTAAGAGGAGTAGACTCTCAGGACTAACGCTTCCCGATAACGAATGTGGTTTGAATATGTTTTGTAGTTCACATTACTAAAGAGGAACAAGTGGGACGTCGCAAGTTCGAACCTGCGCTCCTACACCTGATGTCCACACATAACTACAAACAAAATTGTCTTAACGGAACTGGTCTGTACCAATTTGACAAGTTTTATATTCTACTTTGACGAGTTTTTTTTTTTAATTTTTATTTTTCATCATTAATTTTACCGACAAAATATATCAAATATTCCATCAAAAAATGTTTTGGTGAATTCTTATCTAGCCTTTAAAAGAAACTGGGTAAAGTTACCTTATTGAGTTGTTAGAACTTGTATGGTATACATGTATTCCAATTGCTATTATCATAAATATTGGCATGGTTAAAGGGGTTGACAAAATCGTGCTGGATGATCCGAGGAACCAAAAGAAGTTGTTAGGCCCAAATACTTTTGAATTCGACCTAATATCGCGCTCACCTTTTAGGATGATTGTGCCTCAGGCTAGGCCCAAATCAAGAAAGAAGAAATTCACTAACGAAATCTCCGAAAACATCAAAATACCCTTCTACCCATCATATTTATCCTCTCCAATTAGGGGTGTGCAAATAAACCGGTTCACAAGAACAAAATTTAAAAATATGGTGCACCGATTTCAAAAATCCATATTATTTGGTTTAAAAACTAGTCCAAATTCATTTTACTAAAACCATTAAAAACCGGTAACCACTTTTCAAACTCTTTATCTTATTTTTGTTTCATGGTTATAAATGACAATTAAGATAATGTATATGCAATAAAACTTATATATATATATATATATATATATATATATATATATATATATATATATATATATATATATATATATATATATATATATATATATATATATATATATATATATATATATATATATATATATATATATATATATATATATATATATATATATATATATTAAAACAAGTAATTTACTTTTACTTTTATATATATCATAAATAAATTATAGTATTATAACCATATTTCTTGACTTTGAATATAAAAAAATAAAATAAAAAAGTCGTATAAAAATAATAAAGAAGAATTTATGATATAAAATGTCCGGTTTATAAGTGAAAATTACATCATGACACTGGGTGGGGCTCGCATACTACAAAGATATTACTAGATTTATATATTTAATTAATAAAATGAAATGTTCCAGCTTCTAGAACGATTATAGTAGAGTACCTTTTATCTTTTTACTTTTAATTATTAAAATCCAAATATACATGTGCTTAACTGAGAAAACTAAATTTATGAAACTGTTCTATGGTTATAAAAACTATTCATGTGCTATGGTGCAAATTTTAATCTACAATTTTTACTATTTAGTGATAATTTTGTCGTTAAATTCTTTAGAATGATAAAGTTATTCTTAGGCGGATGCATTTTATTTAGATTGATGTTAAATTCTTTAGTAATAATACTATTTTGATATGAAATCCTCTCTAAATTGATTTTTTTTTTAAAATTGGTTTTAAAATTGTTTTTTTTATAAAATAGATTTTAAAACTGATTTCTTTAAAGAAAATAAAAAACTGGTTTTGAGAGAAACTGATTTAAAACTGGTTTTTAAAAAAACTATTTTTTTAAAAACCGGTTTGAAACCGAACCAATACACTTGTAAACCGGTTTTAAAAAAATAAACCGGTTTTATATAAATGGTTTTAAGATCCAAACCAAACCATATATGTGGTTTGGTTTGGTTTAGTTTATAATCCATGCACACCTCTATCTCCAATCCATTCTATCAATAAAGATATTTCATCCAAACCCCCACTTGTGCTCACTATTAATGATTCAATCCAAAGACCTTAAATGGGAGATTCCAATTCAAGATACTCGAGCGGGTCAATTTTATGTTGTGATTCAATAAATGATTCAAATGTAAACCAAGGTAACTCACGCATTAAAAGAGATTTGGGAGGCATCACTGGCAAAGATCTAGGGATCGAAGGTGAAAAGGATGACAAGCTTTTTGAGGGAATTATAAGAAAATGGAAGACATAAAAGCTTTTCATGATAAGTTGGAGGTATTTATTAGGGTTCCATGAATGTGTTGACTTACAACATTTGTGGAAGTGGAAGCTCAATTAAAAGAATAAGATTAAGGAAAAATATTTTGGCAGGAAAAGCAGACATCTGCTTTATACAAGAAACAAAAAATCAAAGTATGATGGATGAGGTGGTGAATAGTCTGTGGGGAAATAAAGCATGTGGTTGGTCGACATTAGATGCAATAGGCCAATCTGGTGGTATACTAATAGTATGGAGGGATAAAGTTATATGCCTAACATACAACTTCAAATGGACTAGATTTCTGGGAATTAATGCAATGTGGAATGGATTGAATTGCTACTTTGTAAATGTCTATTCACCTTGTGGTGTTGCAGAAAAATGCAAATTATGGTCCGATCTAATTGAATGGAAGAACAAGATTCCTAAAGGGGAGTGGCTTACGGGTGGTGATTTCAACGCAATAAAGACACTTGAGGAAAGGCGGGGTCATGGAAGAGTTGGAGGAGTTTTGACCTTCATAAAGACAACGAATTAGTGGCTCTACTGGTTGTGGGCAATAGGCATACATGGTTTAAGGATAATGGCAGCTGTAAAAGTAGGTTGGATAGAATGCTACTATCTGAAGAGTTAATCAACAAATGGAATGTGGTGGTTCAACAAGTTAGAAATATAAACATTTTTTTTTACCATAGGCCTGTATGGATTAAAGCCAATACTCTAAATTGGGGTCCAAAACCTTATAAGGTTTTCAATTACTGGTATGAACATCCTCATTTCTTTGAGTTTGTGAAAACAGAATGGAATGCTATTATGGTGAGAGGTAGTGCTTCCCGCATTTTGAATGAAAAACTCAAAGTGTTAGGAGCAAGATTAAGATGGTGGAATAAGGAAGTATTTGGGCGGGTTGATCTAAAGATTGATGAAGGGGTTGATTTACTAAATCAGATTGAGAATGAGATGGTATTGGAGTGTGGAAATGCTGAGAATGAGGTATTATTAGAAAGAAGTAAAGTTCAAGAGGAGTTGTGGAATAAATTACACTTGCAAGAAAGCCTAATCAAACATAAATCTAGATTGAAATGGGTGAAGGAAGGGGATAATAACACAAGATATTTTCACATGATGGTGAAATCTAGAAGTAGAAGAAATGTTATTACCTATGTGAAATTGGAAACAAAGGTACTAGAAGAGGTGGAACTTGTCAAAAAATCCATTTTGGAGTTCTTTGAAACACGATACAAGAAGGTAGAGAGGTATTGATACCTATTTTGAAAACAACAGATCTACCTAATATAACCAACAAGGAAAATGAGGGTCTAGAAAAATGGTTTACATCTGATGAAGTTTATGAAGTTGTTTTTGAACGTGATGGGAACAAAAGCCAGAGGCCAGACTGGTTCAACCTTGAATTCTTGAAGAAATGTTGGGAGATAGTAGGGGAAGATGTGGTCAATTGTATAAAAGAGTTTCACTCTATTGCAACCCTTCTTAAAGTTATGTCTTCCTCTTTTATTGTGTTGATACCAAAGGTTAAAAATCCACAAAGGTTGGAGGAATATAGACCTATATTTCTTATAGGATGCATTTATAAAATTTTATCGAAACTATTGGCTTCTCACTTAAGGAAGGTTATAGGAAAGATAGTATCGAATACGCAGACAACATTCATACATGGGAGATAACTTCATGATGGCTTCATTGTGGCAAATGAGTTGATTAATTTAGTCAAGAGATAGAAAAGTAGTTTCTTAATGTTCAAAATTGATTTTGAACAGGCCTATGACTGTGTGGACTGAGAATATCTAGTGAGGATCTTAAAAGATATGAGGTTTGAAGACAAATGGTTGGACTGGTTGAGAGGGGGTGTTTTCACTAGCTATTTGTCTATCTTGGTAAATGGTGGCACAACTAGAGATTTTAAGGCTTCTAGGGGGTTGAGACAAGGTGATACTTTGTCCTCTTTCCTATTTTCATTAGTGGTTGAAGGGTTGGCTTTAATGGTAAGAAGAGCAAGCAGTGTGAGCATTTTTAGAGGTTTGGAACTAAATGAAAATGTACGATATAATCTTCTATAGTTTGCTGACGACATAATTTTGATATGTGATGTTGTTTGGTAAAACTTGTGGGGTTTAAAAGCAATTCTTAGAGGATTTGAAATGGTGTTAAGATTGAATATTAACGCTTGGAAGAGTAGCTTATTTGGGGTAAGGGTGAATGAGTCGTTCATGAAGGCTTCATATTAGTTTTTGGCTTGTAAAATTGGTGAATTACCTTTCATGTTTTTTGGATAACAGTTGGGGGGGGGGACCATAGAAGAATTTCATTTTGGAGGACCATCATAAATGTATTCAAGGAAAGGCTTTCAACATGGAAAGGCAAGATGCTATCAATTAGGGGAAGAGTTACGTTAATTAACATTGTATTGACGAGTCTTCCATATCACTACCTTTTGTTCTTTCAAGCTCTAGTTATGGTGGTGAAAGAAATAGTGTTAATCCAACGAAGATTCTTGTGGGATGGTATGATGGATACGAAAAGTTTGGTTTGGGTTAATTGAAATTTTGTGTGTGTTCCAAAGGAGAAGGGGAGAGGGTTTGGCATTACAGACAAAGGTTTGTTCAATAGGGTACTTTTAGAAAAGTGGTTACTGAGTTTTTGGTCTGAAAAGGATGCGATTTGGAGCGGTATTCTTCACTATAAATATGGGAACATTGTGAGAAGGATTTTAAACAAGGATGTGAATGAAGGAATTTGTCAAGAATCACTATTGTGGCATGATATGATGGTTTTATGGGATGATATGGATAAGGGATCTTTTAATGATATGTTAACATTCAGATTGGGGATGAAGCTACAATTCCATTATGGATGACTAGGTGGCTTGGGCAAGATCCTCTTAAGTTTATTTTTCCTCAATTATTTAAGTCTGTTGTTAGTAAATTGGTTGTGGTGAGGAGGTTGAGGCTTGGGTAGGTGAGGTATAGAAGTGGAACATGGGAGCCTTGGGCATTGATATGAGCAACAATTTGCCTATGGATAGTTCTGAGATGCAAGTGTTGTTAAATGAAGTGTGTCCTTCGGTAGGGGTTGAGGATAAGTTTGTTTGACCATGGGGTGAGAACAAGGTTTACTCTATTGCATCATACTATGATAGACTGCAACAATGTTCAGGTGGGATTGAGTTACAGGTAGAACCTAAATCTGCACTGAAATTATTGTGGCAAACAACCATGCCGATGAAAGTTAAGTTGTTTGGTTGGAGGCTGATTTTGGATAGATTGCCCATTAGGGTAAACTTGACAGCAAGAGGTATTATACATAATTCATATGAGATTGTTTGTGTTTTTTGTTTTCTTCTTGAAGAAGTTGCCAACCATGTTTTCTGCGTGTGTGATCGAATTAGGTTGGTATGGAAAAAGGTTATGGATTGGGTAGAAATTCCATGGTTTATTGAGGATGATTACTGTGATTTTCTATTGGCGTGGTAATTCAGAGGTTATTATTCAGAAGATCATCTCTTGTTCTTGGTGGTGGTTAGCCTTAGTTTCTAAAACTAAAATTAGGTGTAACTACTATGAGTGGTCTAAATTCCCTTGTGACTTCTCGTAGGTTTTTCTATAATTTTGTTGGTTGTTATATCTAGAGCTATCAAAATGGGTTAGCTCATATGGGCCGGTCCGTCAGGCCCGAAAAGTCATAGGGCTTGGACCTTAAAATTAGAGCCCATATTTTTCAGGACTTTTTTAGCCCAGCCCTAAAAAGTCCGCTACCCATTAGGGTTAGCCCATATGGACCGCGGGTAGTCCATTAGGCCCACATCGTTATAAATTTTAAAAAATTATATTAATACTTATATTATCTTACTTTAAAATAACACATTTATTTTTCTCATCTCACTAAATTTTATCTCTATTCTATTTAATCTTTCTCTTTTAAATATTATACATTAGTATGATCAACAATCTTTTATCGTATTTTATTAATTTCTCTTATGTTAAATATTCTAATATTATGTTTAAAATGATAAATAGATAAAATTTTATTTATAATAAATATTATAGCATTTTCATTTTAATCTTTTAGTATAAACAAGTTCGTTTACGGTTGGGTAGCTCGAAGTCTATCTAGGATCGGACTCGGGTAGTAATTTTTGAACCCATATTAAAAATGAGTTTTTTTAGCGCAGCTCTAAAAAGTCCAAACTCACCGGAACCTGCCTGTTTAAGGCTGAATAACCTATTTTTATAGCTTGTATCTATATTGTGTAATTGAATTGGAGTACCCTTAATACTCCCATCTAATTCATTTAGCCTGCTTATAAAAAAAACTATTATCATTAAAAACTATTAGTTTTTAATATTAATAATTTATTTGATGTATTTGCAATTTAACCCCTTCTGCATTAATTATTCTTTAGCATTGTATTTAATTTTAAGTTACTTTTTTAAAATAATGGTTCAGGTTCCATCTTCTCTTTCACATCATATAATATCTATAACAAATTGTTCCTCCGCATTTTATCTTGCATTCATATTATTTAAATTATCATTCATATTATTTAAATTATCATATCTATATAATGATATTTTAAAATTAATCATATTTTATGAAAATATAAAAGAAATATGTGGAATTGAACTCATATATGCTAGGAAAAATTAACAACTCATTCAAGCATTCAAAACAAGCATTAATTTCATAGTAGTGTTTAGGAAAAAATAGCATGAAACCAACTTACACAATTTTTATTTTATTTTTTTAATCGAGTTTTCGGATGACACCTTTTCAAATTATAATTCATATATCTTTTATTAGAAATGATTATTCTCAACTGACTCTTTCCTTCACTAAAAGAATACAAACTAAAATTTTCAATGACAAATCGCTCAAATCGTAAAAAATGGACTAACAAACAAATAAATTCAAAATTTCATATATTGGACTCGCAGAGGTTCACCACCATTTCATAACTCAAATCATAACTCAAAGATATTTCACTAGAAAATATCTTTTTCAATGAATGTTCAAGAAACACAAGAACATGGGTGAATTGGGTTTCTATTTAAAACTTTTTTCCAACCCAAGAACACAAACAACAAATATTTAACAAAGATAAAAGACACAATTATTTTTATCCTGGTTCGCTGTTAACTAAGTTATGTCTAGTCCACCCGTTATAGTGGCTTTGCCTTCTCAATGAAAACTTAATCCACTAATCAAATAATTGATTACAAGCTCAAAGACAACATGTCTAAGACTTCTTGAGAATCTTGACTATAACTTAGCCTCTCAAGAAATTTAACCAAAGGTTAATAATACAAGATTTTGTTTATAAGTTGCTTCTAAAATAAGCAAATACACAAGTTAAAATAAGTATTACACTTAAGGAAATATATTCAAGAAAGTGTTCTAAGTGTATGAACGTGATATAGTTCTTAGCGTGAAACACTTCTCTTTTTCTTTCTCACGTGTATGCGTTCTCGTTCACAATTAATAATTTTCCAAACTTTCGAGACCTCTTTATATAGATGAAGA